ATGAGGTATGTGTGACTGAAAGTGTAACTTTATTTGCTACGTACCTAACACTTGTCCCTGGGGAATGCCAATGCATTTACATTGTTCTTGCAAAAAAGAAAATGTCTAAGTGTTGTTTGCATAAATGTTTTATTCCTTTTAATATATTAAATCTCAATGACTTTAATTTAATTCAAATACCAATATACTGCGGTTCTCTCATATATATCACTTCCTTCTGTGTTGCTAACACATGGGAAATATTCATTTCTAATTGGCAAGCTATATGTATGTCATGCACCCAGGAACTGAAACACTGTGAGTGCTACAGTCAGAGTCTTTCCCACTAAGCTTGCACAAACAAGCAGAGAAAGTAAAACAAAACAAAAAAATCAAACAAGGAAATGAAGTTAGATTTACTTGAGGAAGAGGTTTTGCAGGTTTGTTCTAGCACCCTCCCTCAGAACAAAAAAAAGAAAAAACAAAACAAAACAGAAGAAATTCTTGGGAATGGAAGACAAAAAAATCCACATGTCAGTGGTTTTAATGTGCCAAATCATAATTTTTCTCATTGTGTCATACAATGTGACTGCTGCTCCTGGAACTGAGAAACAGTATAAAATCTGTAAGATATAAGACCATTATCAAATGATGTGCAAGGTGATCTTCTTAAATAACGAATTCAAATATTTTTAAGGTATTTGTGCTTTTAAAATATATATGAAAGGTTTCATGTATTTCATAGATCTAGTTTTAAGAGGTAGTGATAACCCCCCGCCCCAATCTACTCTCCCCTGTTCAGCCCTCAGTCTCCTCTTCTTCCTGTGCTTTTAACTTTTACAATGACACTGGTGAGCTGTCAAAGCAATGTAATCCTCCATTTGAGGCACCAGACTCCCATATGGGCTCCAGTTCATCTCCTGGCACTTCCATTTCTGATATAGACCATAGCTTACAACCTGGAAGAGAAACACAGATGGCTTAAGACCTTCAGGCCCTGAAATCATTGAAGTCCCAGCAGAAGATCCTGGCACCAGGCTTCAGCTCAACTTAGCTCAAGTCTTTGTTGATATTTGGGGAGTGAACAGTGGAATAAAGAACTCTATCTCTGTTTCTATTTTTCCACTTTTAAAGACTTCTTTTCAAATAAAAAGAAATAAATCTTTAATATACCTTCTTTGGAAGGAATATAGTTTAAAAAATACAATGGCATATGTTCAGTCTATTTTATAATCACAAACTTAATGCTTCACTAAATAAATAAATGAACAAAAAGTTAAGTGGATAAGCCACTCATGCTAAAGACCATTTGCAACAATTATAAATGGTAATGAATTCACAAAGTGACAATTCAATTGATACTTTAACATTTTAATTATTAAAGTGTGAATATTATAATACAATATATTACTCTTATTGTACTTTATATATTAGTTACCACAAATCAGGAAAGGCAAATGACATTTGTCTTTTTGGAAATGGCTTATATCACTAAGCATAATGGTTTCTAATAACATCCTTTTTTTTTAGGTGTAAAAGGCAATATTTCATTCTTTTTGAGACTAAAAATTATTGTGTTTTCTATACATACCACAATTTCTTTATCCAGTTATCAATTGGTGGTCAGTCGTTTCTACATGTTAGCTATTGTGAGTTGAGCTGCTTTAAACAGCAGGTGTGAGCTGCCTAGATTATATGATACATGTATTTTCTGATTTCTGAGGATTCTTCATGCTGTCTTTTGTAATAACTGAAGTAGTTTACATTTCTACCAGAGTCATATGAAGATACTTCTTCTACATGCCTTCACTAGCGTATGTTATTTCTTGAGTTTTGGATGGTAGACATTCCTAAGCGTGGAAAGGTAAGACCTCATTGCAGTTTTACATTAGCATTTTTCCTGATGACTAGTGACCCTGAGTATCTTTCCATGGTGATTCTAACGTGCACAAAACGGTAATGGTGACAAATCACATTAAAAACTTAAATATAAAAACTATATTTTTGTCTCAAAACATGTCGAGGAAATATTTAGTAATATACAATGTACTTCCCTGATAAAAGTTTAAGCACATTTGGATATAGAAGGAATATACCTCAGCACAATCAAGGCAACAGGGGACAAATATGGATGTAACATCATACTGAGTGGATGCAAAGCTGGCAGCTCTGGCCATTACTAATAAAAATCATTCTGGAAGTTTTATCTAGAGCCATTAGACAAGAAAGAAAAATTGAAGAAAAAAAAAGAGAGAGAGAAAGGAGGAAGTCAGTTTATCCCTGCTTACTGATGATATGTCCTATACAGAAGAAACCCAAAGACTCCAGCCAGAGACTGCTGTAACTATGAGAGAGCTTGGCAAAGTTGCAGGATTAAAAAAGAACACACACAAAAATTAATAACCTTCATACACACATAGTATGCCATAGCTGAGAAAGAATTTGTAATATCGGTTCCATTTAAAATAGCTTCAAAAATTTAAATATTTAGGGATAAATTAAACCAAATATATGTGTGCTTTTAAGAAACGTACATATATGTATATACATATATTGTAGTTTTTGCATGATGAAGCTTCTTTTAGATGTTGACATTTATGTGGGTGCTTCAATGTTCATAGAAAAGAAAATTGAAACACGCTTTTGTTTCAGTGCTCAAAAGTTTTGAGATGTATCTTCCAGGTATCTTTTAAAAAGTGAATTAAAATGTATGTAATGTGTAAAATCTATGTAAGAATCTGTTCATCAAAACAAATTTAACTTTGTTTTCTATGAACTTTTCCAATTTTCTTCATACATGTAAATCATGTATATGTGTAGTCATTCTCCTATCATGTCAAATTAGGCTACTCATAATCTTTTGTTTTTTAATTTTTGAATTTTATGGTATAATTTCGCACAGGCTGGGATTCTCCCTGGTAAAAAAATCTCACCCTATGACTGATTTCCCCCAAGTTGTTACAATAATATAGTCATTCACAATGAGTCATAATTCCATTAGTCTGTTATTTAAGTGTGCTCCGACATTGCTGGTACAGACAATTTCAGACAGTCCAGCATCCCGTTGTCTATATATGTCCAACAATTTCATTGGGAGTCCATCTTTGATTTGGAAGCAAGGATGCATGTTGCATTGTATCCCCTTATCTGGATATAGTAGTCTCTATTACGCCATCACTACACATTCCCTCAAATGAGAATAGGACACTCATAATCTTGAACAGCTTTTTCACATACACAAATAGAGAGTAAAAGATGTATTTGTTTTCCAGTAAGCTGAAAAAAATCTCTGTAGTTTATGAGACCTTGAGGAAATTATTTTTCATGGCATAGATCTCTTTTTAAAAATCAAATAAACTTCTGTATTACTTAAATGATTCATTTAATGTTGAACAATAAGATTTTCTCTGCTTTATCTTGATTAAATGTTTTTCCATCCATTTTAAAGTGTCTTTATCCTATTCTGCCATCTTGATTCTCTAAGTCATTATGTCTTGTATAGGCTGATTTTTCTTTGCTGTTTTAAAAGTTTGTGCCACATATTAAATCTATTAATTTTTTGTTTATATTTAAGTGTTTGATAAATTAATCATCTCATCCTCATAACTTCACTAGATAAATTTAGGAAGTTTATGATTGTATTCTTGGAATTATACCAGTGTGGTGTGTAAAATGTATTCTTTTTAATTAATAGAAGACTTAAAAAGCTGAAAAGCAAAATCTCCCAATGTTTGCCATTTATTGTTTTGTAAATATTTTCTTTTTGTTTGAATGGCAGATATACAAAAATGAGAGTAAGTGCAATAGCCAGAGCAAGAGATGCTCTATCAACTTTTTTCTCCCCAAATCTACATGGCCAGATCTGAGCTGATCCAAAGGCATGGGTGCTTCTGGGTCTCCCACATGGGTGCAAGGGCCCACAAACTTGAGCCACTTTCCACAACCGTTCCAGTCTTTAGGAAGAGAGCTGAATCAGAAATGGGGCAGAAGGGAATAGAACTGGTGTCAATATGGGATTCTAGCACTATAGGTGGAGGATTATCCTGTTGAGCTTGTTTTGACCTGTTAAAAATAAAGGCTTCTTTATTTTTAAAATATAATAAAGCAATTATTTTATTTAACATTATAAGCTTAATATTCTGATACATGAATGTATTGTGACATGCTAAGTACAGAACAACAGGACAAGGTAGACTCCATGATATCATATTATAAAGGCATATTTACATATGTCAATAGGTGTCCTACTATTTATTGGGGTAAAGATGCATGCCGTATAACTTCATTACAACCCATTATGCTAATCTCCCTTCTATGGTATGTGTGTACATATACATGTATATATGTGTGTTTCTGTACACATGTACACATGTATGTATATTTACTATGTTGTGTATTAGTTGCCATGTATCAAAAACAACATTATTAAGCATAATGAAGGCTAATTTGGAACATCTTGTGGCAAAATAGAAAAATGCCATTTTTTGTTCTTTTTGCTGGAGTAGTATGGCAGGAGAAAATATATTACATTTGTCTTATCCACTATCTGTTGATAGGTATTGGGATGTTTCCATACCTTAGCTATTGTGAATTTTGCTACAATAGGAAAATGATACTCTCAAATGCTGATTTGTTTTTGTTTGAATATATTCCCAGGAGTAGAATGGCTGAATCATATGGCAGATCTATTTCAGGTGTCTGATGAATTTCCATATTGAATCCCATATTGTTTGTACTTGTTTACATTCCATCAACAGTGGATCTACCTAGTTCCATTGAGTCTCTCAGGTTTTCCAGAACATTATGCATTATTTAGCATTAAAATACAATTTCTTGAGGATATCTGAAATGAGATTTGTGCCTTACTTAATGCTGAGATAACACTAAAATAATAGTAAACCAGAAAGGTCAATATATCTTACTAGGTGCAAGACAGTATTGACTGACATGTATCCTTATTGACTGAATGAAATGGCATGAACTTGTGTTTCATGGCTGTTAAGCTTATGTCAGAAAGAGCTCTAATCTAACTTTTTCTTCTTTTGTCTTTTAACAAATTTTTGATAAACAAGCAAGCAAAACTTTGTGACAAGATATGTGATGACTGTCACACAAGCTAGCAGGAATCCAATTACATCCAGAGAGTGGTACTGGTACCAGGTGAGGTCGTGGGCTGCAACCCGAAGGTGCTTGGCTCCTTTGTGGCGCATGACATGTTCGATCCAGAAGACGGCTCGGTCCAGGGGCTTCATGGGCTGATCATGGTGAATTCTTGATAACTTCATGACATTCTCTTTGTAACTGAAGGAAAATGAATAAATAAGACCTAAGAGAATGGACTAGAGAAGTAGATTTGTGGAATTTGAATTGAAGTCGCAGGACTGTCATAGGGAACTCCAGGTTGAGCTGGGCTTCATTTTAACTAAGGTTATCCACACCACCACCACCAACCCCATTAAATGATGACACTTGCAACCTGGCTGAGAAATCAGCATGCTGCTTGGACAGAATGCTCAAATACCTGATGAGACTGTTCAAGTGTGAGTAGGGAAAATGTTTCACCTGGCTCAGCAACAAGAGTTTTCCAAGTTGGCAATTTTTCATTGCTAAGGAAGTTCTGCATTAGTTCAGTTGTCCCGACCCCTCCCCATCTTGTGGTTTTGTATTTATAAGTCCTGTATACTAGTACTTTGGGGTCAAGAAATTTTTGGTGGCATGAACTGGCTTTCAACCTACAAAAATAAGGACATTCAAATCTTATCAGTGTGTGGCACTCATCTGTGTTGGTTCACTTGGTTACTGCATTACAATGATGTTTTAAAAATTAATACTATTATGTAAATTGGAAAGAAAATTATTTTTTTCAGTGGATATTGCATAGATTTTATTTTATATGATTACTGGATGTGTTCACAACAGCTGGCAGTAAAGAGTATTTCTAATATTCAGACTTAAAATTAACTAATATATAACGTGAAAAAACACATAAACAAAAGTGGAAATATCAAAAATATTTTAGATGAGCAATGCTTGATTGATCCTATAAGCAATGAATTTGCAATGTTTCAGTCAGTGTGAAAATTGAAAGAGGCAAGGTCATAACAAACTTCAGACATATCTGGGCAAAGTTAATAAGGAGTTGAAACCAGCAAGAAAATTTTACTAAATTTAATCATTTTGACTGCATTCACATTTAACATACTAATACATGAATTTCTCAGTTCTTAGATTTTCATAGTCCAATTAACAATTTTTTACTATCACTATTTAATATTTGTTACTTAAATTGTTTACTATTAATACTTTTCTGTTATGATTGTGATTTTAGTGTCTGGGGGGTTTTCAAATCACTGAATGCAGTTACCTTTCTACTTATAGTGGAAATTTTTCACAGACAATTGGATAAGACAAGAGAACGCTCATAGGTACATGACTTATCCAATCTAAAGCACAGCCTGACACCGTAACAACTGCAAATAGTGGGTGTTCCCACTGATTTATTTTTAAAATGCATTGAGGACTTTTTGGTAAGTTTTGGGAATTCGTGGGGAGAGGTTAAAACAAAGAAATCAGACAATATGAAAAAAGTAGTGTAATAGGTGTCAAATCAAACACACAGTTTATCAGCTTATAAAGATTTTATCTTCATTCCTCACCATCATATTTATTAAAATGTAAGATTTTAAAAGACATGTATGCTAGAGAGATTGCTATATATTTAATTAGGAAATGTTAGGAATATTCTTTTGGACAAAATAAACAAACAAAAATCATAGGTGACCAGGCATGGTGGCTGGTTGTATTTTCATTTTGTAGAGGGGCCAAGGTTGTGAACACACAAGCAGGTGGGAATATGATTTTCCTCTACTGAACACAGAGTTGTACCAAGCCTAACTTGAGTGCCACTTTGAACTCCTTTCCTACTCTCCCTCACAGGCCACGAAACAGAAAAAAAAAGAATAAATGGAAAAATCTTCCGTGTACTAGATTGAAGGATTAATAGCATCAAATGATTGATGTTAGCTAAGCAATTTATGTATTCGATTTGTTATTCCAATCAAAAGAACAAGGCTTTTAGACATAGAAAAGGTAATCCTAAAATTCATTTGGAATCAGAGACTCCAAACAACTAAAGCTATTTTCAAAAATAAAAGTAAAAATAGAGATGCTTACTACCATATTTCATGATGTGAAACAATGGAAAAAATTATTCCTGGAAGAAAGGAGAGGTTTTTTTTTTTTTTTTTTTTCAAAAAAATGACGTTGGAAATACTGGATATTTGCATACAGAAAAAAAAAAAGAGAAACTTTAAACTTTATTAAAAAACAACACATACCAGATGAAGAAACTAAACCTGTTACAGAAGGCTATTAAATTACTAGAGGAGAATGTGGACAAACAGTACTAGACATCGTATTCAAAGACTTCTTGGCTAAGACAGCAGAAGCACAGTAAATAAAAGCCAAACTTGACGAGGGGATTTCATCAAGTTAAGAAACATTTACACAGCAAGTAAAACAGTCAACAATTTTAAGAGGAAGCTAAGAATGTAACAAAATATTTATAAACTACATCTGTGAATAAAGATAACTATGCGGAATATATAAGTTGTCCACAAAATTCAACAACAATAAAAAAAAATTCCAGTCACTGAATGGGCTAAGGACATGAACGGGCATTTACCAATAATTAACAGACATATGAATAGTTGCTTAGGGACATTAATATGCAGAGAAGTCCGAATACAAACAACAGGTGGTTTCATGTCACCCCAGCTACAATGGCTATCACCCCAAAATCATAAAACAACAAATGATGGTAGAATCTGAGGAAAAAATGTTGCATAGATACACAGTTGGTGGGAGTATTAAGTTGTACAATCATTAAGGAATACACAGATTTCTAAGAAATCTGAAAATTGATCTACCTTAGAATTCATTCATTATACTCCTTGGGATTTACTTAAAGACAGTGGATTTAGTATATGAAGTAATTATCTGTACCCTCAAGTTTATAATATCTCACTTAACAGTAGCTGTATGGAATAAACCCAGATAGAGAAAATGTGATAGATATACACCATCAAATGTTACTCAGTCATAAGAAGAATATCCAGTCTTTTAAAACAAAATGGATAAAACTGAAAAAAAATTGCATAGAAAATATTCCAATTCCAAAAGACAAATATCGTGCTTTCTGATTTGTTAGCTAACACAAAATTACAAAAAGTAATAAATATGAAAGAAATGTACATCTTGAGGTTCCTTATTGCTGATAGCTCTCATCTGTGCTCCTGAGAAGCAGTAATAGTTCTACTTTATACTTGTTGAATTTCATATTTAGTGGAGTTTTGCATCCACTAAATTAAAAGTATCTCATTGAAAAAATGTTTTAAAGTTAGAAAAGAGAAAGATGTTTGATAAATGATGTTATAAAATACATGAAACACTTCATAAATGAGTATATTAATAAATAAGTAAATTTAAAATATAAAAATAAAAGTAATTAAAATAAGTTTGACTTCCAACTATTTTAAAACCCAAGGCTCACTATGTAATTATTAATGACCTATTTATAATCAAACTGTTTCACTTCCATTTAAGTTATTATATAAAAATAGAGGAAATGCACAGCAACATTTTGGCATCAAGAATTTAATTCTAATGGCTTAAATTATCTTAACATTTTATTGAATAATTTAATATGCATTTATCATTACAACTTGATTGTTTAATCAGAATATCCAACTTATCTTTCTCAAGTATATTAGTTATTTATTTTCATAATGATTCCAAATCAATGTTGATTGTTTTCAAGTATTGGCTCAAGCTGTTGTCAACATGAGATAAATTTTTAGACTAACTTATAGCTCAAATAAAGTTTATCTATAAATTCTTTACATTTAAAAAAAGTAATACTCACAAAGGATCATGAATGACTTTCCTCAAGGCATTAAGCAAATTTGTGCTTGACATGGTTTTCCACTCCAGTCTCACAGCTGCTCCCTTGGTCTTCATGTAGGCAATGTTATCATGTTGCTCTGCAAACAAAGGGATGCCCACCATAGGAATGCCATGGTAGATCGCCTCATAGATGCCATTGGCTCCACCGTGAGTGACAAAAAGTTTTGTTTTGGGATGACCTGGAATAAAGGGATTTCAGGAAAATAAGTAATGGTAAAACTTGAATGAACAATTGATTCACTAAAATGATCTTACTCTTTAGGAAACAGATCAACAGTGATGGAATTTATTTGATTGCTTTGAATTCTAGAGGAAAAGACATAAAAATCCACTGGATATGTAAGGGGATGTGTGGAATTATTTTATGGGTCTTGTATTTGAACATTGAATTATTGTAATTCAAATGATCATGAAAAATGACAAATTTTAAACAAAAAGGAAAGATTTACTATTCCCCACCTCTAATACATCAAGTGCATATTACAATGTTTTTATGTAAAGCTACATTGCATTCAATAAGGTGACTAAGAGAAAAAGGAGTCATAGACAAGACAGGAAATGATTATTTTTAATTTATTAATCTGCAATACAGGTAGAAAAATGGAGACATAGTATCCATCCAATGACCAAGTACCTCAGAGATTGCAACAACTGCAGCTGGGCAGGGCAAACCCATGCACCAAGAAATCAGACCAAGTCTCTAATGTGTTGGAGAGAAACTGTATAATTCATATCATGGCCTTCCACTTTTTCTGGCATGTTTCAATAGACTGGGGTCATCAGAAGCAGAAACAGCTAGAGCTCAGGTACTACCTCATAAGTTATAGGTGTGTAACATAATATTTTCTCTGCAATACCAAATATTCTACCACCAGCAGCCTATTGAGAAACGTCTGTATGAGATAGCATCACTTAAAATAAGGATACGGGACAGGAAGAATTTGAATGTAAACAATAAATGACCAACTGCTTTGGCTCATTTTATTTTCCTTTGGATTATAAAGGAAGAGCAAAGAGATTTGGTTTGATTCTTCAGTTTTATGTAGTTAAATGTCACTTGGTGTTCAGTTGAGCTGCTCTTGTTTTGACTGGCTGTTTCTTGTGCTTTCAGTGTCTATTTCCCCAAGCCTTACCCAAAAGATCATTCTGGGGAATCCACTTATAGACGCGAGTATTGGACCCTAAGGATGCTGGTTTCTTGCCTTCAAATCTCCAAACAACCTGTATGGTAATGAAAATATCTATGTCATGAGTTGGATTTCCACCTGCAACATGTTACACTTCTAGTAAGGTGAGAGATTATCTACCTAGATGCTTTCCATAGGAAAGATAAGTAAAGGAGGACAAGAGAAATTTAAAGATTAGAACTTGTAAAAGATTGAGTTAAGTAGAATACCAATATGTCATGCATAGTTTTAGACTCCAAGAAGCATGAAACATAGTCATGTTCAGCATACAGTGCCCAAATGAACTGAAATCATGAATCACATGTAGAATTATTTGTTATGAAATTGTTCTGTGCACATAATTCTGGCATAAAATGAATTAACATTTACTCAGTGATATGTACTTTTACTTACACTAATATTATATTTGATCTCATCTTCCCAGTTTATTGTGAACCATTTTCTAGGCAATGATTTGAAGTGAAAGGATAATTATGGCCAATATTTCATAACATTTTACCATAATAAATTATATTTTAATTCATAGAAGAATAACCAATTCATCAAGGTATGTGTTACAATTAAGATAATACTGCTTAGAACTGTATGTTGCTTACTTTACATTATTAATGACCAAATATTAATTCCAGGAAATGGCTTAATGATTTAAAAAAAATTTTTTGTTCTTGTTGACTTCGTTTATTTTAATTTGAACTGAAGTTTGAAGGAGAGAAAAAGAGAGATAGAGAGAGTCAGATAGAAAGAGAGAGTGAGATAGAGAAAGAGAGAGAGAAAGGGAAATTTATTCTAAGCAACTGTTTCATGTCCTATGCATGCAATAGCTGGGATTTGGTTAGACTGAACCAGAATGTCCATGTGACTTGGCTACACGAACAGCAATAAGAGTCCTTTACAGAGCTACCACCTGCTGATGGTTTAAAGCAGGAAGCTGGCGATTTTGAAACATGTAAAGATAGCTGTACAATATAATGGTGGTTTTTCTGCCTTTACCTACACCTAACACTTCATCATACATTTAAATAGTAGAAAGCTAATCTTGTAGCCTAATAAAAGATTATATTACTGTGATTAATTTGTGGAATAATATTGGGAGGGAAAAATGGATAAACGGAGGGGAAAGCCAGAATCCCTCTAGCTACAAAAATATAGCATAATAAACAACATATTGAAACAACCAAACAAATAATGCAGGGAGCTGGAGCAGAAGCAAATGAAGGACCTCACCACAAGCTCTGTGATAGGAGATGAATAAATGCTCAGCAAAGGTTTAACGTGTTTCACCACATCATCTGCCCTCATGTCACATTTTGCCCTCAAGTCACAGAGTATTACCATTATCACTAGAACTTGAAGATTCTTTAAATGTGAAAAAGAAGAGCCAGCTTGTGATAATATGGTGACTGAAGTCATATAATTAAACTCAGGCTTATATTTAAGCCTATTAAATATATTTCCTCCTGGTCAAATGCGCATTCCAAAGTTATTTACAGCTAAACACATATACATGCACACCCATGCAAAAACACCAAAAATTCTGTGTTATTTTTGCACCTGTTGAAGAAACTTGCTTTTAAACTAATATTTTAGATAAATTCCAGTTTTCATTATCAGTTTAGCTTTCACTGGGAAAGTTTCTTTCATTAACCCCTTTAGTGAGTTGAACAGAGTCATTAAGTAGTCAGTTAACATGAGGGCACCTTTTCTGACCTTTTGTGGAAGCTGGGCAAGGGCTGATGCAATCACATTGGCCCTCTCTTCTGTCAGGTTACTGACCATTGAACCCAAAGAAAACACCACAACTCCCTCTTCTCCAGAGCTCTGCACAAAGTCTTCCATCTCCTGTAAAGAGAGCAAACACTAATTAAAACACTGATGAAAGCAACCAAGGAGAGAAAGTGTTATTTTCTGAAGAATTGTTGTAGTAGCAGCTGTTGTATAACTGACATCTGATGAAATTTCTATCTTGTCCATTTCTAAACACACAGCTGTTCACGTTAACTACGGTCACAGTGCTGTGTGACCAATGTCCCAGATTTCTTTTACTTGTAAAATGGAAACTTGATGATTTCTTTACACTTTAAGTTAAATAAGCAGAAAACTGTTCTCCTAATTTATATTCTTTTCACCTTCTACAAATAAAATATGATCTTGTGATCAATGTTTCTCTATATATTTCCATTGAAACTTAGTTGACTTCATGTCATTATCAGGTCCTTGATAAAACTATTATAACGATGTGATGTACATGTGTATGTTATTCAATTTGTCCTTCGATGACATTTGTTTCAAGTACTTGCTAGAAACTTTGTTGTGGTGTATCTTCATTAATTTCTCTGTGTAGGTTCACTCTAATGCTTCAAATATCCAAAAACGTTTAGTCATTTTAAAATACTTTGATGTAATATATTTCTTATTTCTCTTTTTATACAGAACAAGATTTATCTGGGAATTAGATATTCAATAGAAAAGCAAATTCCTTAAGATAAGAAAAATATATAATATCAAACAAGAAAAACATGACAATCTGATTTGCATTAAAATCCTGCCTATGCAATGTAATGACATCAGGAATTACCACTAATTATCATTACCAGGGTTTTGGGCTTCTTTTTCTTTTTCTATTTTCCCTTACCACAAATACTGTCCCATTCCTTATGCGCAAATAAGTAAATCATTAAGGATACAGATACACTGTATAAACGTTTCCAAGATTGCTTCAGCCTGTGCACCTCTGAATTTCACAACATAAAGCTCAAACTATTTTTGTTCAAAACAGATACTTTATTTTATATAAGCTTTGTGATCCCGTAATATAAAAGAGTTCTCTTCAGGGTTGATGTAATTAAGCAATTAAGAATATTTACTTTCTACCTTCTAGTGATATTAATAGGTTGATATGAATTTAAAGTAGATTAAATCCTCATATTAGTAAAGAATGTCACAATACATGCTGACAGGACTCAATTTCAAAGACAAATTAAAAATTATTTGGGCATGGTGTGGCTAAAATCCTTGTCTTGCATGTGCGAGGAACCCCTAAAGGCACTAATTTATGTCTCAGGTGCAACACTTCTGATGCAGCTTCCTTCCTGTGGCCTGGGAAAGCAGTAGAGGATAGCCCATGTCCTCGGGACCTTGCACTCATATGGGAGACCCAGCAGGAGCTCCTGGCTCCTGGCTTTGGATTGGCCTAACCCCAGACGTGTGTCCCCTTTGGGAGTGAATCAGCCGACAGAAGATGTTTTTCTGTCTCATTATTTTTATATTTTGCCTTTCCAGTAAAATAAATGTTATGTTTTTTTAACAAGTAGTGGAAATGGTTAAGTCTTAATTTCAAATTCAGCAGATTTTTCTACAACCGGAAGTAGATTCCCCTCTAGCTTTTTGTTTTGTTTTGTTTTAACTGAGATGTCCTCTAGCCTTGAGATAGGGCACAAAGACTCCTTTCGGGTAAGGTAACACATTCATTTTAAGCTCCACATAAGACTCTGGGATATTCAAGGGAATGCTATAACGCTGTGGTGAAAGCAAGTCAGTTTGAGATTTGAACGTAACTAGCTTTGGGCCACCCGTTAATGCCGTTGAGGAACACTTTTCCTGTGGAGCTAGAAGTGCAGTGCAGAGCTTCAGTGCTTAGAATCAAACTTCAGCCTTTGTCTTGTTCATCTGAATGCCAAAATCACACATTTACATGAGTACACGTTATTTATCTTTCTATTTTCTTTGCTTGAGAAAATAATTTTCTTCTGCTGGAAAATCAGTGCTATTGCATTCATTTATGTCCAAAGTGTCAGCTATAGTAGGGTGATTAATTCAACAAGCAATAGCAACAAAACAGTAACAGTCACAATAACCATCATTAATTCTCAGTTACTGACATAGTGCCTGAATTTCGTTTTAATCTGACATATAAAAACATTTACAAGATAGTACATATTATTTTGATACACATATACATTATGCAAATTTATAACTTGGGTAAACATATCTATTTCATCAACTATTTATTGTATTTCTTTAGGGGAAAACCCTTATTTTCTTCTAACTTTTCATTAGAGAAATACGTAGTGTATTACGTTGTCTATATTGATAGTAGTATGAAATAGAGCAAAAGCTATTTATCTGTATCTAACAAAATGTTAGTTCTTGGTTATCATCTTTCCCCACTGCTCGTGTCCCACTGTTCTTTCTAGCCTCTCACAACCACTATGTTATTTACAACTTCTATGACAAACTTTGTTTGAATATGCATGAGAGTAAAGTCATACAATACTTCTATTTCTGTGTCTGATTTATTCCTTCATGTAACACCATCCATTTTAATCAACACAGTGGCAAATCCTACGATTTTATTCTTTTTTATAGCAAGGACTTAGACCACATACATACACTGCATTTTCTTCATTCTTTCAACAATGCACGGGCAAATACTGTTGTGACTATTTCTTGACTATTATTAGTCATGCACTAATTAACATGGAATTTAACAATATTTGGCAGACAGGTTAGATTACTTCTAGATTGAGGATCATTTTAAGTGTTTTTTTTCTGTGTTTATCATTTTTCCATATGACACAGTATGGGGATATACTATTATTATAAGTTCAGAAGCAATCAATATTCAATGCAATTAACAATGGTAGTGATTTCTGCAAACATATGCTGGTGTATAAATGTAGATAAAGATTTCAAAAAGTTTATGGAAATGGGAATTATCTAATGCAAATATTGTTGTACTGTGTAAAGTTTTGTCATATGAGTTTCTGACTGGTAGAATGTTCATGAAACTTCTTATACATGTCCATTTCTGTAATTCAGATGTCTAATTGAAGAACAGAGAATCATTTCTGCTGACAATTTCAAAAAGAAAGAGTGAGAAATAGAGAAAAAAGAAAGTGAAAAACAAAGAGAGAAAAGAGAGAAAGAAAAGAAAGAAAGAAGGAAAGAAAGAGAAGAGAAAGGAAGAAAGAAAAAGAAGAGAAAGAAGAAAGGAATGAGGAAAGAAATATAAAGAGGAAGCCATAACATACTTACTTTGGGCAGTGTTTTAGCAGGTTTGCAGTGGAGCCCTCCAACAAAATGAAAATTTGGCAGTAATGGGCGAGGAAACTCCAAATCCCAGTAACTTCGAATGAGCCATATTTCAGCTTTCCCCATCAACTCAGAGAATCTAACAGATCTTCCTGAATGGAGAAAAAATAAGGAATATGTCCAGCAGTGAGAGATTGGTTATACAAAATTTACCATGAATCTCTACTGAATGAAACTGTGAAGGACATACAAAGTGCTTTCAATGATTATATATACATATGTATAATTATATATGCATTATATATAATATATATTATGATAAAAAATATATATATTTTGTGTTGTATATATTGACACATATATTATATATTTGTATATAATACTCTTCACATATTAGACATACTCAAAGGAAAATCTAAAATTGAAATAGTAGAGTTATAGCCCTTGTTAGTAAAGTTGACCACTATAGGACTGAAAATGATTTTTTTTACCTCTTAGAGATACATGTGTAGTGTTTTTAAAAGGAAGAACTATTTTAGCTGTTTAAGCATGAATTTTTAAAGCAATTCTGAATGCAGCTTTCCTAGGGGTACTCAGTCTTGGTTTCACATTTTAGGACAGAGATCCCTGAAGCTAGGTTTTCTCAATGACTGTAATTTTCTTTTAATTCGATTTCTTTTATCTACTATTTTGTTTCACTTAGTCAGCTTAATAGTATTTATTTAGATGGAAATTTACATAGAAATGCTGAAAATGTCACTCGGAGATGTTTTGAAATATTAGAAATGGGGATTTTTGTTCAACTCCACTTTTCAAGTAAAGGCAGTTTGGAAAGGCAGATTTCTAGAAAGAAGGAGGGACAGACAGAAAGACCTTCCATCTAATGCTTTACCCCCCCAGATAGCTGCAATGCCTAGACTTCAGATGATCAGAGCTAGGAACCAAGAGCATTTTCTTGGTCTCTCATGCAAGTGCAGGGTCCCAAGGCTTTGGGCCATCTTCTACTACTTTTCCAGGTCATAGACAGGGAGCTAGGTGCGAAGAGGAACAGACAGGATATGGACCCAAGCTTTATGGGATGCTGGTGCTGCAAGGTTGAGCACTGCAAGTAAAGCCATTGTGCCAATGCCTCAACTTTACTTTTAAAACAGAAATTCAATTCGTCTATATCTGTATCTATACAGAATTTTAGGCTCTACACAGATAATTTTCAAGAGCTAAGTGGGTAGAATTGTAAACTATAATTTCCAGGCTTTCTTCATGGAGAAAAAAGAACACTGTTTCCCCAAAAGCTAAATGGATCTTTCAGATAATACGTAAATGTATTTTAAATTTAAATGAACAAATTTGTAAAAGGAAAAATTAATTCATGAAATCTCATAGATGTCTTAGAAATGACTCTCAAATCAAGCCACATATCTTCATTCATGAACATATTAGAGAAGTGTTCTCTGACTTTTTCTATAACATAAACCTGAATAATATAATGGACACAGATTAGATTATTGAAACCCTAGTGCTTTATGTACAGCTGTGTGACTTCTAAGTGATGGGACACTGGCTTTTAACTGTCCTGGTGATCTAAGTCTTTCCAGAGTATTTTAGAAAGGTCTTTTGGCTGGCATGGTGGTATAGCTGGTTAAATCTCTACCTACCAGTGCTGGCATTCTGTATGATTGCCAGTTTGTGCCCAGGCTATTCCACACCTGATCCAACTCTCAGATTGTAGCTTGGAAAATAGGCAGACAAAGGACCTGTTTTCAGTTTTCTCCACCCATATGGAGGCCAGGAAGAAGGCTCTGACTTCTGGCTTCAGACCAGATCAGCTTACTTAGGGATATTTTGGCAATTTGGGGAGTGAACCTATGAATGGAAGACTTCTTTTTCTCTTTTCTCTGTAAAAAATATGTCTTTCAAAAATATTGGATCTTTTTTTAAAGCAGTGTTCTTACATACTTGTAAAAACTAAGTTCTCCAATTGCACATTTCTACAAACTATGTAAAAAGTCACAGGAATATTAAGAATTTATACAAGCAATTAAAAACACAACTTACCTAATACTTCACTACAAAACTGGTCCCAACTCTTCTCATTAAATGTTTGGAACCAAAAGTCAAAATAAAGCATGAACAGCATATTTTTTACCCTCTCAGTGAATGTCATTTGACTGCTTAAATCTGACATAATAACAGGCACATAGGATGGAGGAAATGTAAGACCTCCACTATGCCTTTCATACGTGTAGCCAGGAGTGAAGCGTACACTGTACATGAGGGGGATGTGCAGTAGCTCAGCCAGCAGCTCGCCACAGGGAGCAATTGGATCTGCAAGAAGAGCATCAAACCTTGATTCCTGGAGCTTTGCTATGATTTTCTTATTCAAAACTAGTTGTCTGCAGACATGTTCATGATTATCAGAAAATTTTGAAAAAATTGTTTGTATTACTGGGAAATATTCCCAATAATCATCTCTTGACACATCATATAGCAAGGTATTGATCAATTTCATGAAAAAAGCTTCCATTTCATCTTTAGTGAAAGTTGTAGGAAAAGTTTCAAATGCAATTCCTGACTCATTGCTGGGTTCAATTAAAACAGAAGCTGACGATCTCAGAACGGTTACTGCATGACCTCGCTGGACAAGTGCATTCAAGATTATCTTCATATTCATCCAATGACTGTACTCCATGGACCACACCAGCACCTTTCCACAATTCACAGGACTGAAGTGAAAACTCAGCTGTAACAGCAAAAGAAGAGCTGAAACACATTTCCCAGGCATTCTGCTGAAATGGATTGCTTCCTCTTCACTTGCTGTCCATTTCTTTGGCTCCTCATGTTTATACCAAAGGAATCTTAACAAATAGTTAAAATATAACTTGCATTGATTAAATACATGATATGAACAGTCCAAGCATGTGCACCAGGAATGAGTTGGAAATGCTGAAATTTGTGAGTTATTTTATTGTCTCATTTATGCTGATGTAATTGAATCAGTCCTACGTTGGTGACCGGCACGTGTAAGCCATTTATGTTATCTGAGACACATTAAAACAATGCCCAAAGCAGTAGCAAATGAAGTGATTTCAATCTGCAATCTCCCAGAGAGAGAAATAGAGTTAAAAGAACTGTGCAGTTCATCTTCGTTTTTAACCAATGTGATTCAAATGGATTTTCTGTAGAATATCTATTTAAAAGATTCATTCATTTTTATTGAAAAGTTTAATTTACATAGAAAGCAAGAGTAAGCATCCATCTACTTATTCACTCCTCAAGTGGCCGTAATGGCTGGAGGAGAGCTGATCTGATGCCATAAGCCAGAGATTCTTCCAGATTTCCCATGTGGGTACAGGTTCCCAAGGCTTTGGACCATCCTCTGCTGCTTTCTCAGGCCACAAACAGAAAGCTGGATGGGCAGCGGTGCAACTGGAACATGAACTGATGTACAGATGGAATGCTGGTGCCTACAGGTATAGGATTAGCTGCTGATTCATCACTCCATCCCATTGTAGAATTCTCTAATTTTTAAAAATATTTTTATTGCATTTCATTTTATATCAACATTTCATAGGCTCTGATGTTCCCCCATCCCCTCTCCGTTTCCTTCCCCCATGGTGGATTGTTCCGCCTTATTGCAGTATTACAGTTCAAATCCAGTCTTGTTTCTTTCATTGCAAGCATGTGCCATGCGTAGAGTCCAGTATCTTATTGCCCAGCTGAATTCAACAGTTTCTGGTGGAGACCAACCCTGGTCTGAAGACATAGCTGGCAGAATATCATTCCGACCAATTAAAAGCCATAACATAACATCAACAACAGTTTCCAACATTATGGGGTTAATTAATATTGTATTGAGTGACTGATATGTTAAACAATGCAAGTTCTTAACCACATCCTGTGACTACTTCATTAACATTTCAATTATAGTTGTACACAACTGGCTTCTATCTACCTTAAATTGGCTATAGGATACAATTCAGCTGTCTCATGACTATTCTTATTTTAGTATTTAGCAGTTTATTGTGTTGAAGCATAATTTTTACTGAACTTGGCAGATTTTAGGATAGTCTAAACTAGCATATTCCTTTAGTAAGGCATGTGACACCCGTTGAGGCATAGAACACTGTTTGGAGAGGTGTGCAGAGAAATCCTCCAACCCTAGTTAGGAGTTTATTTTTGTGTCCTACCTAGTAAGGTATGTGTGAGTCCCAACTGATCGTTTCCTGTCTAGTTCTAAGCTTTCCTTGTTGTTCTCTGTCTATTCTAATTTTTTTGTTGTTGTTTGTTTTCTTTTGTTTTTTGTTTTTTGGGGGAGCTCCAAGGCGACCCTGTTGGTCATTGCAAGAGAGGGTGGGGATCCAGTATTGGAACTAAGTAAGGACCAGAGAAAGCTCCTCTCCCTGGTCTTAGAGGGAGTTTATTGTTCTTCTGTTTCTGTAGACTGCTCAGGAATCCTGGCTGTTGTTCCAGTGACATTGGGCTCTGCAAGGAGGGATTTGGACTTCTTCTGTCCCACGTGGAAGATTTAAGTGGGGAGTGCATGACCTCAGAGTACTTAGCCTCCGAAGGCATTCCAATTCGCCATGGTCTCCTTGACAGTTGGGATGTAGTCCTTGGTGCCCATACTGATAGTCCTTGGTGAGGATCCAGGAGTCTCCAGGGTTGGGAGACTGTCCACCTGCTGTCAACCTGAAAAATGGTACCTGTAAAATGTAGCATTATTTCAACCTCTAATAACCTGTATCTTATGCACCACAACATATTGTGATGTAATCAATGAACCACCAATGAATGTGAGGCAGACTGCTTATGATTTACATCAAAGAACTGTAAACCTAATATGCTTTTTTTAAAAAGATTTATTTATTTGGAAAATAACTATTGTGTCACACCTGATTAGGGATAATACTGGATGAAAAAAAAAAGGCTACTCTTTTTGCCACACTTCTCTGGAATTTGCTTTTGCAACACAAAGCAGGGCTACTAGGACAATGATAGCACTCTCTATCTAGTGTATGAGTAACTTGGTGTGTGACTATTACCATAACCTTGAACCTGTACTATGGGGAGAAAAAATAGCCTAATGGTCTAGGCTGTTGTTGTCTGTGTTGAACTTCTGTGACCCTGGACTATGAAGCTATGAAAGAAAGCAGATAAAATATTAAAACCCACTTGTCTTGTTTTTGTTTTTAGTTAAGTCATGAATAATTATCTCTATCCCCTATTCCTCTCTTAGCAATATGTCCTAAAAAAAATTTCCAGAAGCTAGTATCATGTTATTGAACAAATTTCAGTAGTTATTCTTGGTTTACCATAGATCTGATCCATGAAAGTAGTGGTTTCCCTTCTCAAACTGTTATGCATAGATAAAAAGTGTGTAAATTTAGATTTTATTTATTTTATTTTTTTAAAAAAGGTTTATTTTATTTTTATTGGAAAGGCAAATGTACAGAGAGGAGAGACAGAGAGGAAGATCTTCCGTCCGATGATTCATTCCCCAGGCAGCTGCAACGGCTAGAGCTGAGCCAATCCGAAGCCAGGAGCCTCTTCCTGGTCTCCCACGCGGGTGCAGGGTCCCAAAGCTTTGGTCCGTCCTCCACTGCTTTCCCAGGCCACAGGCAGGGAGCTGGAAGGGAAGCAAGGCTGCTGGGATTAGAACTGGCTCCCATATGGGATCCCAGAGCATGCAAGGCGAGGACCTTAACCACTGTGCCATCACGCCGCCCCCATAGATTTTAAATAGTGTTAAAATTCTTTATTAATGCTCCAATAAATTGTTCCATAAATTTTTAAGCTAAGAAATATGTATCTTAAAATTCAGTCCCAAGTATATCTAGGTTTGTGATAGACTTCTGGTCAGTTCATAATGTTCTGATTAAAACTACTAATGTAATATAATATCTTAGGCCATGCTATCTATAATTTGATTAATTATTTTTATTTTGCATCACTATACACAGACTTAAACTGCCTGTACTTATTAATTCTATACATTATAGAATTCTGATGAAAGAATCATTTAAAATGCATGCAGTCATCTCTGGGTCTGATTGCTGTTTGGATATAATTATGAATGATATGTACAGTGATATGTACAGTGCCCTAGAGAGGAATAACTAAATATTATTGATTTCTGTTTCTCACTTTAAACTACTTATAGCTATGCGAGTTGAAGCTTGCTTTTAATAAAATTATTTGGTCTAATGTTGAGTACATTGGTTATAGGAAAATAGAAATACATATAAGCAAAATAAGAGAATATTTGCTCTGCTTAAGCACTGGGAAACTGGCTGTCATTTATGAAATGTTTGTGAATCAATACATGTGCCTATAATAATAATTAACATGATTATAACCTTAGTAACATTTTAAAGCATGATGCTGAATTTTTAAATGTGCAATCAATGGGAGTGGTGTGGTAGGTTACTGGCTAAATTCTCACCCTGCATGGGCCAAATTCCCATATTTGCACCAAATCATGTCCCTGCTGCTCCACTTCGCATTCAGTTGCCTGCTTGTTGCCTGGGAGAAAGAAACATGTAACACACTGGGAAGATGGCCTTTTTAGTACTTCTGAAAGAAAAAAAATTGATTTGGTTTTGAATTGTTTTCTGTCACTGCACATACTTTTTTTTGGTGAGAACATTTAACATGCATTCTTACTAAATTTGAACATGCCTGTTTATTAATTATAGTCAGCATTCTAGTCAATAGATTCCTAAAACTTACTGTTTTTATCCATTTGAAACTTTGTATGTTTTGACTGCTCTGTCTCCATCCTATTCCGGGTCCACAACTTGGACTTACTCATGTTCTAAATTACTATACTAATTCTAGTTATTGCTAACAATCTATTCCAATTATCTATTGGCTGCAAATGAGTACATTTTATATGATTTCTCCTAATTTGGTGATATAGTATAGCTAAATGAACATGTCACTGCAGATTTACAAAAAATCTTGTACAATTGGTATATTGAATTTGTTCCTATTGATTCTTTAATCTGGGTTGAGCACATTTTTTAATTTTTTAAATTATTTTCCATGATACAACTGTCAAGGACAGCCCAAAGCCTTGGGACCCTGCACCTGCACATGGGAGACCTAGCAAGTTTACTCAACACATCTACAAAATGTGATTCTTTTGTTTTCATACAATAGTTGAAAAAATTGCATAATTTTAGATAGAGCACAATTTGTGTCTGTTCAGCATATTTAAATTAAAATTATTTCAATTTAATATATTTCCATTTAATATAATTTTCCTGCAACACAAAAAGCTAACCATCATGCCAGGAGGCCAAATCAAGTTACAGCCTACTTTCTACCAGAATAAATCTCCAAACTATTTGGAGACCTCACTTCCAGTTAGAATGCTTTCTCCAGTATAGAATTTAAAATTATAGAAAACATTGAGCTTCAATCACACGTACAACTGATTTTTCTACCCAATAATCAAACTAATGTCAATTTATATTTTTTATAATCTGAGTATCCTAGGCATTCAAATGACTTTGAATTTTCAGTCTGAAAAGGTATGCCAAGGAATGTAGACATCTTATTTTAAAAGGAAATAAATCTATTGTGTAGAACTTTGAGGGATGAGTATAAACATCTTGAGCCCATCTTTCTTTTAAACCAAAAAGGAACTTTTCTCTCTTTACATTTTATGTCAATTTTATAAAACGTTGTTGTGCATTTAAGTAACAACAAAATAAAGTTTACTCAACACTTCTACAAAATGTGATTATTTTTGTTTTGATAAAATAGTTGAAAATGTAT